GGGGGTTTCTGTGATCCAACCCGTCACAGTGTGAACAAGAATTTTAGAAGTGTTAGTAAATATGTTTTCTAGCACCATGTACTTCCCAGTACAGACCAGGCCAATGTAAGAAAAAACTTCATCAAGAGCTAGTCCTTGATCCAGACAACGAGCTGGCCTAGTGGATCTCTGCATGGAACCGCAGTAATTTCCACTAGGCTCCAGCCCACATGGAGCTCATTGTAGTATTGGGATAGCATGACCAGATGTCCCAATTTTATAGGGACAGTCCTGATTTTTGGGTCTTTTTCTTATATAGGCTCCTATTACCCCCCATCCCCATCCCCATCCCGATTTTTCATGCTTGCTGTCTTGTCATCCTACATCAGGACCTTATAAACATGTTTAATTTTAATGGGACTATTCATGCTGAAAGGTAAGCATGTGCATAAGTGTTTGCTAAATCAAGCCTAAAGTGGCAAATCCCCTTCCATTATAAATTCCTGCAATTTTCTTTAAAATTCTTCTTAGGGCTGAAATTTTCCATTATCTGTCTCAGCCCAGAGGGATTTTTTTTTCTGAACATTTTAGCAAAATCCAGTCAGTTTTAAAATATGTGGTCAATGAAAACAGGTAGAACTTCTCTCCCCTCCCCCGCCACTTTAAATAGCATTACAACATTTAACTGCACATGAATAACTAAAAAGGGACTGAACTTTAAAGTTTGTATGTAACTACTTCCCAATGAGAAATAGACATCAAATAAGTTTGAAAAAAAAAGTAAAATTATAACTAGTTAAACATTTACTTTTGCACATGAATACTGAAAGAGTTCTGTTCACTTGATATTTTGATAGTTGTATGCAGCTCTACTGGGCTGTAAGCTCCATTTAACAATAGCTAAGTCCTGATCCTAGAATTGAATTCTCACATTTCTGTTACTGCAAATCAGGAACAGAAAGAAAAATAAAGTTCAAATAGGAAAGTTAACTCAGTTATATAATGGACATACTGTACATTAAATTAGATATTTAACAATCCAAACAGTAATCTAGGTTCGAGGACGAATATATGATATAGTCTGATAAGAGTCTTTTACCTAAATAATATTCTGTATGCATACCCTTTTCTTTAAAATCTCTTTGTGAACCTGAATAAAATGTCATCAGAGTCACGTTTATCCGTGTTCTTGTGAATGGTTATTGGTAGAGCTGGTTAAAACAGAGTGGAGGGAATTATCACACAAAATGTGATTTCTTTTTCATCCCTCTCCATTTTAAATTTCTTTATTTGTCAAATTAAACATATTTCAGTGAAAATTTAATTTAAAAGAGTCCCTTTCTTCAAAAAATTGTGACCCACTCTGACTCTTGGTTTCCAGGTTATAAATGAATTCTGAAATTGTTGTATAGCTGATACTTCCAGGAAACTGTGGCCTAGCACCTTTTTTATGATCTGGAGGAAAGCTGCAAAGTGAGGGTACTGCTACATCAATCAAATATAAAACTATAGGTGTGACTGCTTCACGTGCTTGATCCTGCCCTCTTGCCTTTGAGCACAACTAATGATTAGGAAGTGGATGTTACTGCAATCCAGTCATTACATCTGCTGGAGATGGAAGATTTCAGGAATGTTGCAAAAGAAGAGGAGTCACTTTGGACTGGACCTTCCCATGTATGTGCTTCCCCAAATGTATAACCACAGATGGCCTCATCCCTCATCCCAGCCCTTGGTGCTACATAGGAAGGCTGTGTGTCAGAAGGAAGATGTCTAGTTCAGCCCAGCAATCTTGTAACTTCAATTACTGCAACAGGAAAGACTAAATATTTGGATAACTATCTTTTATATATTAAAAATCTTATCAAAGGGGAAACAAGAAGAATCTG